CTCACAGAGCCCAGCCTGGAGCCATTCTCAGGGTTTCTGTTTTTCAATTGATTGTGGAGGCTGCTAGAGAGAGGGGCAGCCTCTGGCTCTGGTTACCCAGAGAGGAAAGCCACTCCAATGGCTGGCGCCTGAGCTGGGTGACTTTTCGCTGGATGGAGCCGAGTGTGGCAGGTCACTTCGCCGTTAAGTTCTTTTGACCTGCTAAATGACTCGTTTTATTCCAAGGCCTGGGTTGGAGCTGGCAGCTCCTCCGAGCTTTGTTGGTATCCAAGATGGAGATCACCGGTGCTGGGGGGGAGGGGTGGCCTTCCCTCCTCTGCTCCCTGAGAAGGAGTGAGGATGTCACGCCGAGTCTTGGATCCTGGGTCGTCTCTGGTCTGCAAGCTGCAGGATGAAGATGTCTGCTCCTTTTTGGTTCTTGCTGGTGTTGAGTAGAATCCGCTCGACTGCTGCATCTGGCTCCTTTGTCCCGGACTCTCTGTGTGAGCACTAAGGTATGGCCCCGGCTGTGTTCTCCGCCGCTTGCGACCCTGCCGCTGCCACCGTGGCGGCTGCTGGCGAGGGCTTAGATGTGTCTTTTTGCCTTGGCTTCCCTCTCTTGTCTAACTCTCTGTCCTGTGATGGCACACTTGGTGTGATTCTCTGGCTTAGGACTGTTCACTGGAACTCTAAAACTGCTTTCTCTGCGAGAGCTTGTTCAGATTCCAGCTTCTCCTCCGCCATCTTCCTCCCCGGCCTTCCCTTACAATATTTTTTAAAAGAAAAATCTTTCCAAGCTAAAATGACTCATGTAGAAATAAACTTTAAAAGGTTCAGATATTCAGTGTGTTATAATGAATACCACTTCACAGTGGTATTTTTTGTGAGGAATAGAACCACATGAAAACTATAGTTTAATATTTCATAAAATACAGCATTTCTTTGAACTACATGTTGACTGGGCAATTGTATAGTAAAATGTATTACAAAAATTTGTTGCAACAATAAAACAACAATAAAATAAATTCAATTAGATTTGTCTGTGATTTTATGTCTGAATTTTTAAAAATGTATGTTGCTAATCAACAGAATGAACATATATGAAATGCTTATTGTAGGATGATGATACATTCATGAGGTGCTTTGATTCCGAATGCCAAAACTGTTCATCTAAAAATATAAAGAGTTAATACCTGAAGCACAATGTTTTACAGCATATTAACCTGGTATTGTTTAACTTAGTGATGATCTTATTCATATCTTTGTTCAGAAAGCTACAGACTAATGTAGCATAGGAATCACCCCTCAGTGAAATTGCAGGTACTTTGAAGATCAGCCATGAAATTTTTGAATTAGAGAATCAGCAGAATAAGTATAGTATCAGGAAAATAGCCGAGACAAACAAAGGCAAGCCCATCAGAAAGCCTTTGGCATACTCCTAAGTGAAAGCATTTTTTTTTAATGACAAGGATCAAATGAAAACTTAACAAAACAACTTGCAGGCTGCATATTTTATTAAGGAAGCTAGAGACAAAGAGTTCTGTATAAAATAGGGACCAAACTGGTACAGTTGATGGTGTGCTCATGAACTTATTGAACTTAATCCCATGAGAGAATAAAATCAATATAATTTACATAACTATTACATAATCAATACTATTTCAGGAATATTGTGCAACCACTAGCAAAATGGAAAGATGCAGGGAGATCGTAAATGAACTGACCCCAACTGCTCAAAGCTCATGACTGCCAAGCATCTTGTAGTGAGCTAATACATACAGAAAAAGAAATGATTGAAGCAGATCATTCTGTCTGAACAATCAAGTTCTTTAACTCAAGCCAGTACTGCAGAGGAACACAAACCAAGAACAGACATTTACACAAATGTTCTTATCTACATTTCAGGAAAGGAAGCAATCTAAGTGAATATTAAGAGTATCAACATACTGTTCATTTCATGGAACAACCAAGCACAACATAAAATAAATCACTGCTTTAGCTGATCTTTTAAATAGCATTTAACCTAATTCTTGGGAAAGATCCAGGAACGATGAAAAGCAAACCCTAAGGTCTAATAGCGATAAGTTGCAGTTGCAAGGAAAATTAAACTTGCTAATCTCAGGACATACACAGAAAAATTAGACAAAGAAATGTAGTGAATCTCAAAATCTCCCCAAAGCAGTTTTTCTCTAGAGAAAGTAACAAGACAAAGGGATCCCAAAGGGGCTTATGTGTAATATTTATACTATTTTTACCTTTATGGGCTACCTTTAGTTTGTTGAAAAAAATTGAAGGTTATTCAAACATACATTTGAATGGTTGTCATATTGAGACAGAATGACAGACAGAAAGAGAGAACATTAAAGATGTAGTAGAGTGGAAAGGAAAAAAGGGAAGAGATGATTTTAGAGAAAGCTCGACTCTACAGTCTGAGGGATATAGAATGTGGACATTATTACAGGTTTATTTAGACCACCCCATCCTGGGAGGGACAGAAACAAGATTTTCTTTCTCCTTCTTTGCCTTTTACTCACAAGTTATTTTTAAATCACAGCCAGATTTAGTAAATCGTATATGGTTGCATTAACTCTCTGCTTTATGTCATCGTATGAAGGGAAATTTAAAAGCCATGAAGGATATTCATAACGAATATTCATCCCATCACTGATTGGGCCTTATGGATGTCTGAACATGACTAAAATGAGCGAGAAAGGACTTTGAGGTGAATTAGCTTCCCGATGCTCTCTTTCACATCCTTATTTCTGAGGCTGTAGATGATCGGGTTGAGCATGGGAACCACCATGCTATAAAACACAGTGGCCACTTTGACCGTAAGCAATGAGCTTCTAGACTTGAGCACACAATAGAGTAAGAGGATGACCCCATGGCAGAAGCAGATGGCCATCAGGTGGGAGACACAAGTAGACAAAGCTTTCTTGAGGGCTCCCTTAGACGGAATCCTGCTGACAGTGACAAATATGACAGTGTAGGAAATAATGATAATCAGAAGGCTGCAGGCCTCGTTGAAGGTACAGATGAGCAAACACACCAGCTGACTGAGGGAGGAATCAGAGCAGGCTACCGAGAGGATGGCAGAGTACTCACAGCAAAAGTGATTGATGATGCCAGAGCCACAGTAAGACAGCACCAGAAGGAAATATGTGAGTGTTGAGGAACAGATTCCACCCCACACATAACTCCCAGCGACCAAGATCGCACAGAGCTTATGAGACATCGCAACCGTGTAGAGCAGAGGTTTACAGATGGCCACAAATCTATCATAGGCCATCACTGCCAACATAAAAGTCTGTGTAACCACACAGGTACAGCCAAAGAAAAATTGTATTATGCATCCTTTGAAGGACATGGATCTGTCTTCTGATATCAAGAGGTCTAGCAACTTTGGTGCAATGACAGTGGTGTAGCAAAAGTCAATAAAGGATAGATGGCTGAGGAAGAAGTACATGGGTGTGTGCAGTTTGGGATTGATCCTGATGAGCAAAATCAGACCTAGGTTTTCCAGCACACAAGCAGTGTAGATGGTCAAGAACACCAGGAAGAGAGGCACCTGTAAGGTGGGCAATTCTGAGAATCCCAAAAAGACGAAGATGAATCCAGCGCTCTGATTTCTTTCATCCTGCATTTGGCTCCTGTCGAGGAAAAAGAAGTGTGTTTTCTTCTATTACAGGCCAGAGAAGAAAGAGTTTAGGTATGCCAGGAAACTAGTAAACTCAACACTATAACAATTAACTTATATTTGATTACAAGTGTGGTTTTAGGAGGAAGAACATATTTGGTTCTGAATGCCACAGTTTAGTGCAAACAGGCCAATGTATACAGCAGATATTAAGAGTTTAAAATCAATCTAAATGGGTTGGTAATCTCCTCTGTCCAGATGAGAAAGTACTAAATTATTTAGATATTCTAAGACTGCAAGATGAGAGCAATAAATATTTTGCTCCAGGCAATAAAACACTGGATGAGTTATCTTGCACAGAGTTAGGTACTTTTTTCCTCTTATGGATAGCATCACGACCAGATAAAACACTGTATAAGAGCTTTAATTTAAGAAAGGAGCAAACAAAGTACTGCTCAGTACCTCAAGAAGAAAACACACTAGGGGCAACATGAATGTTCACTTAATCTGGTATTTTTCTTATTTTTGTCTCAGGCAATTCAACTCCTTTCATGGAGCCATTTAAATTCTAACATGACCAAATCCTTTTATAAAACATAAGTGCAAAATTTTATCTTGGTCTAACAGAATGGGTTAGATTTCTTATAAAAATATTTCAGCTTTCTTCACCTGCCAGGATTCAATAAAACCAATTAAACCCATGACCTAACAAAAAAAAATCTATGCTTCAATGTTTGTTTTATAGAGGTGTTTAAAGTGATTTTATCTCAGAAGGGATGGTAGTATAGTTGTATTTCAGTGTTTATATCTGCCCATCTATGTCTTACTGCGTATATCGCTATACTTATACCTTTAAAATGAAAACTCATTGTGTTCAACATTATGAGCATTAAGAGGAACAGTATATTTTTTAATTTGGGGAAGGGAAGGGATATTGCAGAACGCTTAAATGGGATGCAGGCTGATCCATTGTGATGACGAGATGTACAGGACACTATATTGAAAGCGAACTTTCCAATGTGGGGGGGGCGTGGGAGGAGTTGGGGAGGGAAGTGATGGTACGGGAGAAATAAAGGAAGAGGTAACAATGCTCACTCTGAAATGTACTCAATGCCCTACTCATGTAACTGTAACCACTCTGCATAACATTTTGATAATAAAAAAATTTAGGTAGAGGGGAGTGTAGTTGTGGAAGTGGGAGAAAAGGGATAATAGGGGAAATATAAAGGAGGAGGCAACAGTGCTTGATAAAAAATATACACATTACCTTGCTCATGTAACTGTAACTCCTCTGTACAGTATTTTCACAAAAAAACATACAAAGTACCGTATAATATAGATAATAGAAATTACACTTTCTTTCACATGCAGGTCAACACTACACATAGGGGAATAATAATAAAAGTAAACTTTCATATTAGTTACATAGCTTGATGCTAGAAAACAAATGTGATATGTGTTGAGCTTAAAAGCTAACCAAAGAACAGTTATGCTTAGTGCATTTTCACACATGACGCTAGGACTGATTCTGGATTTTTGTTTTGTTTTGTTTACATGGGGCTTGAACTCAGGACCTGGGCACTATCCCTGAGATCTTTTTTGCTCAAGGCTAGCACTTTACATCTTTGAGCCATGGCTCCACTTCTAGTTTTCCTGTGCTTAGTGGAAGATAAGAGTCTCATAGACTTTCCTGCCTGAGCTGGCTTTGAACCATGATCCTGAGATCTCAGCATCCTGGGGAGCTAGGATTACAGGGGTAATCTTCAGGCATAAGTCTTCAGTGTTTGGCCAACTAGAACTAATTTTAACCTGTCCTCTTACAAGCAATACCATTCCAGTGATTTCTCATATCTAAGGGAATTTTACATGATCAAAATCTTTTTGATTCCTTTCAGTTCCACATCCATCTTATACATTGTTCCTAAGCTGGAATTTATCTGTGGGGTTTGAATGACATATAGATATTGGATTGCCACATTTTCTACATGAATTGTCTACGATTGATGGAAAAGAAAAGATTTTCTTTAAAAACAGAAACATATTTGTTTAATTTTTTCTGTTAGTTTTTAATTGTATTTTCTTATAAAGATTCTATACAGAGGAGTTATAGTTACATCAGTGAGCTTGAGTACATTTCTTATTGAGTATTATAGTGGCTCTGAAGAGCTCAGGGACAGTGCCCAGGACCATGAATGGCATTTTTGAGAAAATCCAATCTTATTTTTGTAAAATTTTAATATTTTGCATATTTCCCCATTGAATTTGTAGCACTTCACATTGATCTCTGCTATTTCCTTTCCTTTCTTTGACTCAAACTGGTCTAATGTCCTCCTGTCAGGCAAGCATAACTCTCATACTGAAGGTGAATTTGTTAAACAATCAATCTCTATGATCAGCCATTACATAGGTTTATACTGAGTCTTGAAAATGTGAATGACTTAATATTTGGGTCAAGTGTCATGAGTTGAAATTCTACCAGAATCAAATATCAAACCTCTGATGAGATGTTCATGCTCTGTGTCTCAATCCCTGATCTGCTTGTATGTGACATGATATATATTAAAATATTCATTATTCTTGATGTAACTACTGTTACTGTTATGATATTGCTATGAATAAAGGGTATCCCAAATAAGATCCCAACCTTAGGAACCCTGGGACTACATTCTACATTGTAGTCGATTCAAAAAAACAGCTTCTTTATTTCTCCTTTCTGAATTTTCATAGGATTCATAACATATGCAAAATATTACCAAAAAAACCTCTTGTTAATTTAGAAATAATGAAACAAGAAACATTTTGGCAGACATATTGTAAAAAGCAATGTTTTCCTTGATTAATTCTTACCATTGCTTAGCTTAGGTACCCAATTCCCAAATCATCAGCACATGAACTTGACTGTCTCTTTTCTTATCTCTTTTCTCCCCTAGTTTCTCCTGGATTCCTTTTCCTCTCAACTTAAGGCTTTGAGGAAAACATTAAGGTAAAAATTAAATAATTCAAGATGACTTCCCATTCACATTCCTACTCCACAACATATTCCTCTTTCTAAATAACAACTCTTCGGCTGACCTGTCTCTGCAAACGTACTCAAGTTGTCCTTTCAATTTTCCTCTACGGTGACACTCAAATGGTGACAACTTGACAACATGCCTGTAGTTTCAGGCACATACACATTCAATATCTTTGCCTGTTCCCACTATAATGACAATTTTCCCTCAAATTCTAAGCACAGGCACCTTTTCAAAAGAAACAAAATATCTTTAAGTAGTTGTTCAAAGGGATTTCAGTTCAACATGTCTGTTTATGAGTAAAATCCATCGTGATCATCGTCACCCTTTCAACATTCTCCTCCTTCTCTTCTCATCCTATCAATAGATCTATTTTCACACATGTACATTGAATATTATGGCTGTATTCACCCACCCTTTCTCTAGTGTCAAATTCCAGGCAAACTACTTGAAAACTCTGGCATTTAAAGCAGTTAAACTGCTCGGTTAAACTGCTCAGATTTGATTTTGCCTACACATCATTAAAATAAAAATAAAATTATATTAAGTCTATTATATTTCTTCACAGCCTTATACATATTTGAAAATATATATTCCCCTAAAAGTATCCAATCTTATAATTATTCTGAACAATTAATAAACCATTTCAAATAAAACTAACTGGCTGAAACATGTTTTATTGATGGGGGAAGGAATACATAAATGGAAGGAGGGAGAATGAGCAACTACAGTTGTTATATTCAATGTACAGTATGTAAAAATATTCAGGCTATGGCTGACACAGGAAAGATGAGAGAGAATAGAAGGGGCCATATCAATAAAATATATGATAGTCATAATCTGACTTGTGGAATTGAAACTTCTTTAGACAACTAGTTAAACAATAAATAAAACCTAAAAAGTACAGTCCTCTAAAGGACTGATAAAAATTGAGAATGGTTAATGAGCATTAATTTAGTATTCACTAAGAATATTAAGCCTCATTACAGTATACAAACAGATTCAAAGATTAATACAAGGCAAACTTCTTAACAATGTAGGGAAGAGGTTTTAGTACCTTGTGTTTTTATTCTTAGCTGAAAGACACTGCTACCACAGCTAGTAGATTCACAGAGGTGTTGTTCGCAAAAAAATATTCGATATTTGAATCAGAGTCTTCTGCATCAGAATTATAGAATTATTCACCAGCAAAAAGACAGGTTTAATTTTCAGTGGTTGTGGAACAATTCAATTAATTATTATGTTATTTCTCAAAACTTGTAGCTATAAAAGCTTGTAATTAAGCCTTGAGAATTTCATTTAACATAGGCCATGAAGGACAATTCTATATTTTTATAATTAAAAGCAGTCATGTTCAGTATAAACACTTTCTTCATCTGAGTCAAACTGAGAGACATAATTTAGGAATCGTATATTAAATTTTCATTGCATGACTTTCGGGAATAAAAGTCCCAGAGAACTTTCACAAGGTGTTTACCATGAGCTACTAACAAGAAAATTTGAAAATCTCTCCTTCCTAATTAAGATTATAATTGGTTAATAACACGGTCACGAGAGAAATTTGAACATGTTTATCCTATATTTGAAAAGTATGATCTGCTTCTCACTAGTACATTGCTGAAATATGAGAAGTTCAAAATTAATAATAGATTGTATCCTGGCTTTTTGTTTAGGATATTTATTCTGCTTTTGTTTGTAGATAGGGAAGTACCAAATATCTATTGTCTTGACTTATATTTAAGATTGATTCATATATTTTCCTCATATATTACAACTCATATCTTTAATAGGAAATTGAGAGATGCATTAAGCGAAGAATAATTTTGTGTTTTAACTGAAACTCTGAAAGAGACATAGTCTAAAAATGTATACCAATGCTGGCTGAAGAGCTCAGGGACAGCACCCAGGCCCAGGGATCAGGCCCCACAACTGACAAATACAAACAAACAAACAAAAAACCCTAAAGTATCATTCACTAAAGTCCCAAATGTGATC